TGTGTATCTCCATCCTGTGCCATGGCCAACCAAGGGAAAGAGCTACACTTCAGACCTCCGAGCTGGCCTGACCCAGCAGAAATTCCCAAGGGGCAGAGTCTCTAGAAACTGCCTCAGACTTCTCAGGAGGCTTGTACCCTCCCCAGGGGTACATGCTCAACATGCTGTCACTCAAACATGAGGACCTGTGCTCAATCTCCAGAATCCGTCTTTTTTTTTTTTCTTCTTGACTACATAGTGAGTTCAAGGTCAGTTTGAGCTACATGAGACTATTTCTTTTGTTTCTTTTTTTTTTTTTAAATGCCAGGCATAGCGGTATGCACCTTGTAATCCCAACACTGGGAAGGTTGAAAGAGGTGGGTCCCTAGGCTCACTGGCAAGCCAGCCTAGACACTGGCCAGTTAGAGACCCTGTCTCAAATGACACAGTGAACAATAACTGAAGAACAACACTCAAGGCTCACTTCTGGGCTCCACACATAATTGTACATACAGAAGGACTAAGTAGACACACACACACACACACACACACACACACACACACACACACACCCTAATCCCCAGTATCTCTAGCCCATTCATTAACTTATCAGGCAAGCAACAGCAGAAATCAGGGTATGGAGGGAACAAAGGCACACTCATTCAAGACCTTCCTCTGTGATGTGGACCGGGCTGGGGACAGGAGAGGTCCGAGTTGGATTCAGGTCACTGGGCACACTTTCTCCTCACATTCATTTCTGTCTCCCAGGGATGGTATGTTTATGTTCTCATGGGAAAAATTAAACATTTGCCAAAGCTCTGTCAGGGTGCAAGATTCCACCTTCCCAGGATCCAACAGGAGCAACAGGCAAGGTGACTTGGTACCAGGGAAGCCATTGGTTCTGCAGTCACAGCAAGGCCAGGCACACTGCCTTCATCCAGCACCTCCAGCCAGAAGGATGACATCAACACCAGATACTCTCTTGAACAAAGAAATTATTGAGCCATTCATGGTTCTACTGCTGTGTGGCTTTGGTGATGAAATCCATTCACCCACAGCCTTGGAGTATTGGCTAATATCTTGGAGTTCATTAGATATGAATAGCTTCAAGCTAGGTGTGTTTGGATGGAAAAGCAAAAAGAGACTCACTCTTATATCATCTGGGAAGGACAGCCAATACAGGCATGCTAGGTCGTGTAGCTTCAGGACGTGTTTTAATCAGAGGACATAGCCCTGCAAAATAGTGGCTTGGCTAAGTAGGCCAGACTCCTCTATGAAGAAAAGCTTCCCGATAATGAATAATGGGCTTGTCCTCCTCAGCATCCAACTGCCATGTCCCTCTAATCCCCTGTCCAACAGAAGCACAATGGCAGGCCTGCCCACTGGCCCGAGAGGGGGCCTGGCTGAAGGCTTGACACAAAAGCCCCTTACAAAGACGTCAGGCCGTATCTGCATCAGCTGAGGCGCTCAGGTGAAATTACACGCCTCGGGATGTTCACCCTCTCACGGCTGAGTGTAAAAACAGACCAGTGCCTTACACAGACTGTGAAATTTCTAGACAGGCATATAGTGTTACTGTCTGGAACTTTCCATGGACCTCCTCAGGTTACCATACATATTTATATGAATGCTGTATTTAAAGAAAGGAAAGCATGCTGTACTTGGTGATCACTTTTAATTGAATTCATCTGGGAATTTTAAATCTGAAAAGTTTAGTGCCGTTTATAGCATATGAAAGTTTGAGTGGGTTGTGACTTTTGCTCTTCAGGATAGGACAGGTTCTGTAGTGTGAAGTGTTGTTAGAGCCCCCTGTAAAAGCCATTAAGATGCAGAACTATGATATGAGACAGTATGACAGCGCACCTTTGCTGTGATCCCTCGGAGGTGATCTGGCCTCCACAGCTTCCTGCTCAGAAAAAGAAAACTTGACATTCCTTTAAAGATAGCCCTCCAGGGCTGGAGAGGTGGCTCAGTGGTTAAGAACACATGTTGCTGTTGCAAAGGACCCAAGTTTGTTTCCTGTCATCCACATAGGGGCTCATAGCCATCTGTAACTTCAGTGCCAAGGGATTAGACACTCTCTTCCAGTGGGCAACACACACGTGTATATGTGTTTACATACATGCAGGCAAAACACTCCTACACATACAAAACTAAATTAAATTAAAAGATACTGCTTGAGAATCAGGTATACATATCTATAATCCAAGTGTTTGGGAAGCAGAGGAAGGAGGATCTTTTCAAGTTCAAATCCAGCCAAGGCTACAGAATGAAACCTTGCCTTAAACAAACAAACAAAGGACCCACAGGAGAGCTCAGTAGGTAAAGATGCTTGCCCCCAAAGCCTGAGTTTAATCTCTAGAGAGCTGACTTTCTCAAGTTGTTCTCCAGCCTACACACATGCACACACACACACACACACACAAACACACAAACACATGATAGATAGATAGATAGATAGATAGATAGATAGATAGATAGATGGATGGATGGATGGATGGATGGATGGATGGATGGATGGATGGATGGAATGAATCATGCCACAGTACCTGGTTTAATGTTTACCATGATGAGCCAAGGATAGGCAGGTAGATGAATGAAGAATGCTGTGGACATTGGAAATTAGATGCCATTTTCTTGACACTTGACATGACACTGGGACACTAGCCAGGCCCTTACTAAAGTAGACATAGGGCCTCTGTCATATGCCATCCTTTCAAGGGAGCTTGTAAAGCCTCCACTCTGTGTTCTAAAGCCCTGTCAGTCTAATAGGGGGCAAGAAGAAGGGCCAGGCTCTGGGAGAGAAGCACCCAACGTCAAGTCTTCCTTTCTGGCCAATCAAAGTGACATTTGTCCTCATAGAGAAACTCAGCTTCCTTACCTCCCAGGGCCTAAGCAAAAACCAAGGAAAAATCATGATGAGCCTCCACCCCCTGGCTTGGTTATGTGGCTCCCCTCTAGTGTCCTGCCTCCTGAGGCTACCACACAAAGCGCCATGTTTATGTCCTCTGTTACCTGATGAACAAGGGCCATGTAGGTTTTTCAATTGATGACCCAAGCCAGGCCACACACAGACCCATGAGGCCCACACTCAATAAATCTGGCAGGAGTCGCAGCACCCAGCACAAATGTGCAGGCTGCTATCCCCTGGCCTAGGGATGTTCTTCACATCTTTGAGGTCCCATGTATTTACCCACTCATATCTCTTAGAACCACAATTCCTCTCATCAGTACCCAAACCTGCTATAGGGCTGGAGAGGGTGGGGGCTGTGCAAGGCTGTCTTTTGATTAGGCCTTGTGTAATGTGATTATGCCCTGTGTAATGTGCACATGGACCTCTATAATCTGAGCATCATCTCCGGGGCGCCCTGTAGTCAAGAGAAACTATCAGTGAGGACTAAGGCATTCTTTCTGATTGACAGCCCTGTGAATTCTGTTACCCTGCCCTTTCTACTCTCATGGCTTCAAACCTAGACTCTGTCTCCTACCAGCCTGCAGCATAGCCTTCACTCAGGAGTTCTCTGATGTTTTCCCTATAGGAAGGCTGCCCATGGTGTGTCATGGCTGGCTGATTTGAGGTCCTCCTTCTTTCCTTCTCCCCTCACCCCCTCTCCTTTTGAAAGCGCGTCCTGGGGCCATGGCTCAGGCAGCAAGCATTTGCCCTGTGAGAATGAGGACCTGAATTCTACACGTTTGATATGATGCTCCATGTGTATAATCCCCAAACCAGGAAAGCATATGGAAATGGGAGGGCTGCTGGGCAGCCTATCTAGCCTCATTGGTGAGCTCTAGGCCAATGGGAGGCCCTGCCTCACAGAAGGTAGAAAGGGTTCCTGAGGATGACAGCAAGTTGTCCTCTGGCTTCCACACACCCACACATACACATGTGTTAAAAAAGAAAGGGAAGCTGGCCTCCCTCCCTTCCAGCCTTTGTTAGCCCTGTCTTAGTCTTCTGTCCTTTTAGAACTAGGGAAAGGTACATACAGTGAAGGAGCTGATAACTAGGAAGCTGAGGTCCCCCATTCATAGAGCGCCAATAAGCTCAGGCTTTTGGCTCCATGTCCAGGCCCCTTCCAGTCCATAGCATCCAGTCCACAGCAGAACTCATTCTCCCTTGAAAGGCTGTAGCCACTGTCACACAGGCCAACCAGCCCCCCAGCCTGTGGTAAATGTCTACCAACTCCCCCCACATTTGAGTACTAGGCCAAAACAAGCAGAAAAAGAAGCAAAAAGAAAGTTCTGACTGCCAACCAAAACACCACCACCTTCCTAGTAATCTGCCAGTTCAGCAGTGAGGTCAAGAGTGGGCACAAATCCCGGATACCTTTGCCAGAGGTGTGGGAGACATCTGGTCCAAGAGGCTGTCCCCGACAAGGAAGCATATTGTCTCCGGTGACCACATCCACTTGCAGGGAATTCTCCTCTGGCCTGGAGATTTGATCTGTGACTCCCATTGGGTACTCCCTGACTTTAGTGCACAGCATATCCTTGCCAACTTTAGGACTTTATAATCCTACACAATCCAGCACACCTTTTGACTAAGCCACAGGCAAACTGCAACAACAGTTATGGGGACCAGAGCCTGATGCCAGGGGTAATAAGCAGCCTTCTTCACCTTTAGGTACTGGCTCACAAACTAGTCAGAGCTGGGGCTATATAAAGCATGGGCCACCCCATTGTCTCTATACATTTCAACAGTTGGAGCACACAGTCTGTCACCAAAGGATTATATGATTTGAGATATCCATATCCATATATATGTATACCTGACACTTGTTCCCCTTTTGAATTTGAGGCACAAATCACAGCTGGATTCAATAGCTCTTGTTTTTGTCCAGGTATCTGAAGGCATGGCCTTCTCTCAGGCAGGAGATAGAGGAGTGAGACTCATTGGCAGGGACAAGGCTGGAGAGGGGTAGGTAGTCTGTTCCCATCCCCCATGGTCAGCAGTCTAGGTCTCAGACTGCAGTGCACAGAGGCGTGTCACTCTGGGGCATGAAAGGAGAGAGATGGTAACTTACATGGCTCTTCTTCCCTTCTTCATCCCCTACAGATGTAATAACTGTCTCAGAAAAGACCATCTGTCCACTCTCGTTGTTGGTTATCTACAGAGAAACACAGGTGTGGTAAAAATGAAACAAGGAATTCTGGGAAAAAAATCTCAAGACTTTGTTTTTCGCTTTCTGAAGTGGGAGTCCATGGGATGCCCACTCTCCTTTCTGAGTTGTAATCATGGGGCTGCCAGCAGACAGAGTTCCTGGAGATATTCAAAATCCACATCATCAGGTGACCATGCAGAGGGAACAAGGTGATAGTGGACAGCACAAGACTGGTGCCTGCCACCCAGTAAGTACTTGACACCAGCTATTTTTATTACTCTTGGGGCTCATCACTTGGTTCTCAGTGCCAAGATTCTTTTTAACAAAATTCCACCCTGACCAGTGTGATAGCAGAGGCTTGTAATCACAGCACTTGGGCTACAGAGGCAGAAGCATCTGTAGTTCAAGGTCATTCTTAGCTATGAAGTAAATTGGGGTCCAGACTGGGCTGCATGAGAATCTGTCTCAAATAAATAAGAGAAATCGAGTCTATGCATCTAGCCAAACAAGTGTCTCCACAGGAGGCAAGAAGGTGAGGGTTCTGGCCACTCTGCCAGCCTCCGGTTCTATAGAACCATTCGTCTCACCAAGATAGCTCTGAAACACACAGGGCCCGGTGCCTGCTGTGGGCTGCCCGATTCTGTTCTAGATCAGGAAGGATTCAGGGCCACTCCCGCCTCCTCCAAGGCCAGGACAAAAGATGAGTCTGAGTGTTCTAAAGTGTTCTCTGAGCCCCGGCTCAGCTGCAAGCAACTATCTAGTCACTTCTCTCCCTGATTTAGGTTTTTCATCTTGACGTTATCTTTAAAGTCGGTGCCAGCTTTACTACCTCAAGAGTCTACAGCCAGAACCAAGCAAATTTGGCCAGTATCCAGCAAGGGATGAGTGTCTGCTTCCCAGACAGCAAGGGCTGATCTCCACCGCCCTGTTCTCTTTTGCTCTCTCTTTTTCCTCCTCCAAGGTCATCCAGGTTGACCTCAGCATCACTAGATAGCCAAGGCTGGCCCTGAACTGATCTTCCTGCCTTCACTTCTTAAGCGCCGGGATTACAGACACGAGTTAGCACTCCTGGTTCACGCTTTAGAATTTTCACCTAAATATCTCATCCCTGTGAAAAGGATGGGCGTCTCTTTTTATTTTATTATTTATGATTTAATCCTGTCCCAGGCTCTCTTGGCACTTTTATTACCCACAGTGCACTTCTTCATCTCTAGGAAAAGGACATGTGCAATATTTTCTGAATCTACTTCACTGCCGCTGTGCACCTCGCTCCTGAAGCTCTGCACAGGCTGGTGCTCCATGGAACCCTTGAGAGCCTGTGCCGGTAGTAACTTTCCCCTTGTCGTTAACCATGGGTCATGGTGGCATATGCCTTTAATCCCAGCACTCAGAGATGGTGAGGCAAGTAAATCTCTGAGTTCAAGGCCAGCCTGGTCTACACGGTGAGATCCTATCTTTAAAAAAGGTTTCCCTTTTGTTTTGCTTGGTTGGTTGTTTTCCGAGACAGGGTCTCTCTATGTTGTACTGGCTGTCCTGTAACTAACTGCCTCTACTTCCCAAATTGCTGGGATTAAAGATGTACTCCACCACATCAAGCTGAAGGTTCCCCTCCTTAAGGTGAGCTGTGTCACTAATGAGCCACTCCTAAGAGTGAAGCCCTACCCACCAAAAGGTCTCTTCAACTCTGGCACAGGAACCATAAAAACCTAAGAGCCAGTGCCTCCTTCCCACCTGAGAAGAAGCCTCAGCTGCAGGACATTGTGTAATAAGTGCAGAAGCCATTTACACACCTGTACCCTTTGAATAGCAACCCCCCCCCTTTGGTTTTTAGTCTGCTTTCTATAGCTCTCACTTAAACATTTGTGGCTTGGTATCACCTGTTGACAGCCCCCTTTTCTCCAATGGGACTGCGTGTAGGAAGGAGACACGTCTATGTCCCACCCCTTACCTTGTGAACTTCCTGGTGCACGTGGACTGTGTTATTTCCCACCCTGGTATCTGTGCTGGTCTCGTTGTGATAGTTGGCAGGTAAACTTGCTAGGTTCACCTCAGAGGACGTTCTAGCAGCTGCTTCTTCTGCCTCCATCTGTCAGATTGAAGAAGCAAAATGGTTTCTTTCAGTTCTAAGTGAGGTGCCACCTTCTCTTCCCCTCTTCCATAGGTGCAAAGATTGGTGACAGTGGCAGGCCACTGAGTGGCCACTGGACATAAATTCCAAATGTTTTACATGACCTCAGAGGGTTTACCTTATCCAGCAAGCCTAAAGACCCGAGTTTTATCCCTGGAATCCACACAAAAGGGTTAGGATGTGATGCCTCCAAACTGTAATCCCAGCACAGCTACAAAGGTGTGGGAGGCAGAGAGGCCGGAATCATCATCAAGGAGCCCAGAGAGCAGCAGCAGAGACCCTGCCTCAACAAGGTGAAGGGGAAAACTGACATCTGAACCACACATCCAACATAACATACACAGGCACGCATCATGCCTCTCCTCTCAAACACTTCCCCCACTTCTGGTTTTCTTAAAGATTAATTAATTAATTAATTAATTAATTAAATGTATGTGAGTACACTGTAGCTGTCTTCAGACACACCAGAAGAGGAAGGACATCAGATCTCATTACAGATGGTTGTCAGCCACCATTTGGTTACTGGGAATTGAACTCAGGACCTCTGGAAGAGCAGTCAGTGCTCTTAACCACTGAGCCATCTCTCCAGTTCCCTAATTCTGTTTTTTAATCCGCTTCCTGTTGATCTCATTGACATTTTTAGCTTTGCATTGCCCATATCATTTTTTCCCCTTTAATATCACAACGTCCTAGGAAATGAATGTTAATATCCTCACTTGACAAGTAGCGAAACTGAGGCTCACAGAGTCTACAGGAATTCCCAAGATGCCCAGGGTAGCGTGGAGTTGAAATTTGATCACTGGTCTTTGCCCAGGCCTTGGTAGCCTAACCCAGAGGTCACCTGCATTAAATTCCCACACAGCCAGCCAGCGCCTCAGTCTCTTTGGCCACAGAAATGTGCTCAGTCTTTGGAAGCCTCAAGTACTAATGTCTCCAATGAGGAACAGGATGGAGACGAAGTGCCCCAACGTTCTCACTTGTAAGACAAGTCTCTTTGTGGGTCCCAGTGGGATTAAACCCCAAGTGGCCAAGACAGGATTCTTCTCAGGGCCAAGCCTTTGCTAGTTTTCTCCTTCTCATTTCTTTTTAATTCCTACAAGAATTTTCTGGAGTTTGTCCCCCAACTAAACAATTTGCTGCTAAGCCCTTGTTGCAGGATCTGGTGTATGTGGGAAGACTGAAACTCAGATAGATGGAATATCCTTCAGGAGTTTCCTTCCCCACCCCATCTTTTAGTGTCTCTGGGTGGATCTTCTATGGGATCAATAGATGGGTTTCTGGACCCACATCCCTTGTAGTCCTTCAGAAACATTTAGCAGTCCTCCTTTGGTGTCGGGCTTCTGAGGCCACACCCTCAAACCTTCTGGTCCTGGGAGCCTCACTGACACCTGTGTCACAAACAGCAGTGACACAAGTTTACACTCAGCTTTTTCTTCCAGATCTATCATATCTGCAGCCCTGGTGAGTGGTCAGGTGACAGAATGACCATTTCATAGCTCCACAGATACAAAGGCAGCCCAGGTTATAGACTACAAAGCCTTCCAGATGGTCTCTAGAAATCTCAATTGCAAGTCCCAGTGGGGAGTCCTGCTTGAGGAAATAGTGAGGCTTCCTCTACCAGAAGGTCTTTTCAACCCTGACACAGGCACCCATGAAAACTTAAGAGGGGTCTCCTTCCCACCTGAAGAAGCCTCAGCTGCAGGACATTGTGTAGTAGGTGTGCTGAGCTCTCTAATATGCTGAGTTATTTTGATTCTGGAAAACAAACCTCAAAAAGCATTTTTCTACTGAAAACAATCACTTTTTCTACCCCTGCTCCTCTCTCTCTCTCTCTCTCTCTCTCTCTCTCTCTCTCTCTCTCTCTCTCACTCATTCTTTCTCATCTCATGATTTGTCTCATGTAGACTAGCCTCTGACTCACTGCATACCAGAGGCTGGCTTTTAACTCCCTGCTTCCTTCTCCTAAGTGTTGCCGTGAGCCACAACACCCTGTTCCCATTCCCTAAAATACTACAACACCCCCCTCTCCCATCTCCCTGCCCAGAAGGCCAAGCTGGTGAGAACAGAGGCACGCAAACATGCTGACTTAGAAGCACACACAGTTCACCCAACAGTCTCAGGTGCCTGCCTCAGTGACGTTGTGCTGATGTTTTGAAGGTGTGACACTGCTACCATGGCATCCTTGTGAAATTCCAATCTAATCACACACTTGTGTGCATGGCTACTATACCTGGCACTATGAATAGTTACAGCACTGCCCATAGGGAAGGTGGTGTCCATTCTCTGGTGAGGGGCAAAGGAAACAAGCCTGACAGAGGCCACTGGCAAATGGCAAAGTTTGGATTAAAAGTTAGGTCTTTCTGATTTCAAATATTGTGCCTTTTCTGAACAGTCCAAGGTTCCCTATTCCCCAGTGACTTACACATTTATGGGAAGAGTCCCACACAGACCAGTTTAAGGATGACTATGGCCCTTATCCTGTGATGGTGTCTACTGGCAACTGAGGGGTTTAAGGAAGTAAAGAGTGAGGTTTCAGGAGGAGGAAGAGGAGGAAGAAGAGAAGGGTAAGCAGGATTGGGCTGGTCCTGAAGGATGACTGGATAGAGGAGTTGAGAATGCTAGAGAGTTCAGAGGCAAAGCTGGAGCATCCTGAACAAATAAGCATGCACACGCTGTGAGCTGGAACAGAGGGGCCATGCTGGGCACAGGAGGAAGCTGAGTAATAGGTCAACAGACATGTATAAAGAATATCTCTAATACAGATGCTGACCTGTTTTTTAACCAGAGACATCAAGGTCATTCAAAGATCTTAAATGAATACTTTGGTCCCTTCCTAGATGTACCAAATTGTCACTTCTAGAGACAGGAATCCACACATCATTCAGTTCTTTTGAATAACCAGAAAGATTTCCATCTTCCTGCTCCTGGAAACTAGGAGCCACAGCAGATTCTGTTCTGCTTGTGAAATAATTTAGAGACCAGTGTTGGAAGAGACTGGAGTCAGGGGACTGGCCAGAATCAAGTCCGGAAGAAGGGGCCTTCTGGTAGCAAAGACTTCATGTAAAATCTAGAAGGACCAAGATGAGCATTGAATTAAATAACCAGCTGCTACAGCAGTGTCACAGAGGGCAGCATGGAAGGATGGGCCAGGGCCCCAGCTTTACCCCTAAATAACCACATACCCTTGGGCAATGCTCCAGGCCCCTCTAAACCACAGACTGGATACCTGTGCAGTGAGGATGCTCCCCACTTTGTTCAGCAGGTAATGAGAATTAAGGAACTTCCAATCTGAGCATCAATATGGCACTTGTTGCAGGGTTAACAGGCGCCGGGACCTGCTCTGCTCTCCTTACAGCAAGCATCCTGTAAGGAAGCAGATGGTGAAGAAGCCAGCTTGGGAGAAATGGGAGGGGCAGGCAGCCAACAGCAAGCATCTGAAAAGCTCCCATTATAACGAAGTGGATAAGAAAGAGAAGAAACCAGGACAAGACAGGATGGATGGGAAGGAAATGATATTTTTAAAGAAAGGGACCAGGCATCTTTAGCAAAAAGTAAGGTTTAGCTGGAAATAAGGAAAGCAAGGTATTATAGAGGGTGTGTCCAGAAAAAGACTGTCTTAATGTGTTCTAAATTCTATTGGAACTGGAATTGTAGAGTTTGGCTTTCAGATAGCTGGCAAGTCCCCAAATCTCCAGGCTACTGATGGCTGAGCAGTCTCTCTGAAACCCCACCCCCTCTCTGCCAGTGGCTGTATCAACACAATGAGCTAAGGACTGTTTAATGAAACCATAAACTAAAAGTACAGTTTACCATGGAATCGTCAACCACAGTGGTTCCTGCCACCAGCAAGAGAAACTTAAGCCCGAAGCAGTAGTTGCTTCACAGCAGAAGAATGTGAATGCTGTTAAAAATGGCATTCACAGCCCATCAAATTCACGGTTATTAAAGGAGCACAGTCAGAAAATTGCACAGATAAATCCAGGCTTGGTACTGGGGTGCTTCCTAGGACTCAGTCTGATGGTAAGAGCCCTCTATAATGTGCCAGTTACAGGCCGGAGATGGAGCATGGGTAAAGGTATGCCACCAAACCCTGATGATCAGAGTTCAGTCCCCAGGACCCACATGGTGGAAAGAGAGAAGGCCAGTTCCCTAAATTGTTCTCTGACCTCCACATGTATGCAGTGGTGCGTGCGTGCACACACACACACAAATTATCATATATACTAAAACATTTCAAATATATCAATTATAGTTGTGGCAATGTGGATGGGGGTGGTAAAGTGACTCTATCCTTAACACGCACTTCTTAAAGACATGGGGTAATGAAACACGAAAACCAGGAACTTCTCAGATGGAAGACGTTGGAAGATTTGCTTTCTCTAAAGATAATCCTAGAAAATCAACTGCTTTGTCCCCTAAGAGACATCAACAGCTTGAGGCAGCTGGAAAAAATAAAATGCCAGGAAGTTACTTGAAAGCAGATTCATGGTGCAACTATGTAAATATTAACTGCCTCTGGCTCGTCCTTCTTCATTCTCTTGAATAGCAGCTAAATAGCAACTGTCCTGTGTTTATGACATTTAAGGAGCTTTCTGGGAGTTTCTTTAAAAAAAAAAAAAAAAAAAAAGCTGGGCTGGTAGATGGCTCCTATGTAAGCCTTCCAGCCTAAAGTCAGCCCCTGGAACCCGCGCAAAGGTGAAAGGGAAGAACCAACTCCACAAAGTTGTCCTCAAACTTCCATACACTCGCCATGGCACACAAGTGCACACACCCACACTCACACGCATCATGCATATATACAATAATTATAAATAAAAAAGCTACTTTTAAAAAGTCAGTAACCACAACCTATTAAAATCGTACACTACTTTAAGTCTGACTTTTAAAACAGCATTTTTCTTTTCTCTTTCTTCCCACCCGACTCCAGCGCTGGGGATCAAACTCAAATTTAGAGCCTCTAGCATGGTAGGCTCTACTGCTGAGCTACAGTCAGAGCTCAAGACATTTAAAGATGGCTTCCACTGAGAATCTATCACATGTTGGTAAGTGTGTGTTATTCAGGCTACTACTGTTTGTTTTTCTTTGTTCTTTTTTGGTTTGTAATAGAGGGTCTCACTACGTAGCCCAGGCTGGCCTCAAACCCATAATCTTTCTGCCTCAGCCTCCCAAAGGCTGGGACTACAGGTAAGTACTGCTAAGCCTGGCCACACTACTGGTATTACTATAACAACAAAGATAGCCATCATTTCCTGAGACCCGATAGTTCTTCTTATTTATAATGCCATCATGAGGAAGGCACTTGGTCTATATCTACCTGCTTTTCTTATACCAATTTTTTTGACCAGGTAATTTGCTTTTCTAGAATCTTCTCTTTGATCCAGAAGTGGGTCAAAGATTTTTCTCCATTTCGGGCCTTGAATCCCATCACTGATAAATGGCAGTGCTGGGACTGAATGAGAGACAGTTGGTCCCCACTGTCTAGGACCCCTCTTTCCCATCGCCACAGCCCATGAGAACAATCTAGGGAAAAGGCCCCTGACTTTGTTAGATGTGATGATCAATGTCTTTGGTTTTCAGCCAATCTGCACAACTGAAGCAGAAGTGTATCCAGATAGGCAGCAGTGGAACCATGATAAAACATTTCCATGGGAAAAGCATGGCAGTAAGGTCTGATGGGGTCCCAAACTGCAGTATGGCCATAGAGGCTAAGCAGTCCTCACTGGACACTGACATCAGAGAGCCCTGCTACAAACCTTCTGTACTGTGGCTGGTACTTCCCAGTGAGCTAAAACATGGAAGGGCTGTTTTCAGTGTTCCTGGGAATCCATGTGCATGGGGGAAAGTCCTACAACCCAGGTAAGGGCAGCAGGAGCCCTGCCTTGAGTGAGAATGGTCAGGAGCTCCATGAAATCTACAGCTACAGAATGGGGGCTTGCTGGGGTCAGGCTGAGCCCCCACTTTAATTACTTGACGTGCAAACTGTTCCATAAGCTCAGAAAACCCACAGGTCCTGGGACCCAGGCCTGTCTGGTAGATATTCATACGTGGCTGCTTGTGTCCCTGCCTCCCAATCCAGTGTTTCCTGCAAAGCCCTTCGGACTGGCTTTGGGGAATGGAAGGCAAAACATCCCCAAACTACACAGGCTGAGGCAGTATCCCAGCAGGCAGTGGCCAGCATTTAAAACTACCTGGGGTGCTTACCACAGTAGACACGGTAAGAGCCCAACCCACTCGTCTGGTTCACTGCAGTTCCAATCCAAATGCCCATCTCACAAGTGCCAAAGATGGCTAGCCACATTCTGATCAAGAAGATCCAGGCAGCTTCCAACATGGTTGGGGCCCATCTTAGGAAACGGAGCGAGGTGCCATGCAAAGGGTTGGCCCCTGGAAGATGAGGAACCAAAGTTTGCCTCTCATCTGCCAGGTACCACATTTTTTGGCACTTCGGCTAATTCTCACAAAAAACTGAGGTCAGGCAGCTAAATGACTGACCACAGTCCACCTACTGTTGAGTGGCAGAGAATCTGAGCCTTGGTCTCCAAAACATCCTGGGTGTAGGTAAATAGGGTTGCTTCTCCCGTTCTCATGCCCTCCCTTGGAACCACTCGCTATGGCATGGTCTTAGGACTTACTACAGCCCTCCTTCGCTGCCCCAGAACACATTTAAGGGAGCCAGACAGACTGCTAGAAGAGCTCAAGACTCTGTTCCACACGACTAGCATCCTGACTGTTTCTTGGGGAAGATGATACAGGCTCAGTGCCCAAGGGACACGTTGGAACTTGAAGCTTTCTGCAGCTAGCTGCCCAAGCTTCTGCAAATTCACTGCGCTGGGACACCAGAGTGGCCCCAACCTCAGCTCAGCTCCAACCAGAGACAGCAAGCTGAGTACCCGAAGACATCTGCGATATGGTGGTTCCAGCTCCCCAGGAAGAATTCTGCCAAGCCTCCCTTGGTGGACAGGGATGCATCCAGACCTTCTGGTTGTCAGGCAGACAGAATCAGCTGAGATTAAGGATCACCCAGCGCTGCACTCAGGGCACTGCACGTCTGCTGTCAGGCCTTTTCTAGCTCCGCACAAAGCCGGGTCTTTGGCCAGGGCTTCAACCATCGCTGGAAACATTGCCTCCCCCAGACCCACTCCCTTTCTCATCCTCGTACTTTCTGAGCCAGGCGCCCTCAGGGTGCACCCACCTCCTCCACCGCGCTGCGCAGTTTGTGCTGAGTGTCTTCCATCAGCTCCTCCACCTCTCGGAACATCTCATTGAGCGTAGCTTCCTCCTGAGGGTAGTTGAGAGCTGGGCCCGGCTCCGCGGGAGTCCAAGTGGCCGTCGGGGCAGGAGCAGGGGCAGTGGGGACCGCCGCCGCCAGCAGCATACACAGCAAAATACCCCCGAGCCGCTGCATGTTTGCTCCGTGCTGGCCGCCGCCGCCTGTGTGTCCCGGAACGCTATCAAAGACTGCAGGACCACCCCTCTTGCCTGTCCCGCCCCGCCCCGCCGCTTTGCCCGCCCCCAGATGGAGCGAGACCCAGCCCCCTCCCAGACTCAATCCCTACTGGAAACAGTGGTGACCGCTATTCCGCTCCAGCCTGGATGCCCTCTGCACCCTAATCCTCCAACCCCCGTTCTAGTACCTAGGAGGAGCTCCGTTTGACACGCTAGTGGAAACTCAGCTCCGGAACCAAGGAACCTAAGTCTTCTACTCTTAATAGCAGACCACTTGCCCGGACCAAGAGACATTAGCTGGACTACGGGTTCGAGTCCCGTCCGTTTTTTTACTAGTTCACCGAGCAATTCTGGGACCTCTTGGCCTCTGACTCAGGCCCTAGCATCTCCTAGCCCTCAGTAGAGCTCGGCAGAGCCCACAGATCATCCTCCTCCCGGCGTGATACAAATGCATGAAGCTAAGGGAGACCCAACTGGGCTATACCCACGACGCTGACCATCGCTCACCCACTCGAATGAGCAAAACTGAGCTGCAAGCTGGATCTGGTCACGACCGGTCGCAGGGCTGCCACAGAGCAGCCAGAGCAGAATCCGCACTGTGCCCGGCGTGGATGCAGAAGCGCCTGTACCCAGAAAGCCTGCAGCCTGCGCCCCCCAGTCCACCACGCCTCCGCCCCGCGGGAGGGGCGGTTGCACAGCCAATCGCTCTCCAGGCCGCCTGCGACCTCACAGCTCACGCCTGTCTCTAAATCCTGGGAGGCCCAGTCTTCAGGGACCTATCCTCTTCCCCGCAGCCCCCTACCTCCGCGATAGCCCAGGTTTCTACTATATTTTACAGCCTTCTTGAGTCTCACCTTGCTACCTCTAAGCCCGCCTCTGCCTTGGACGCAGTCCTAAGGGATGGAATCTCAGCCCCTCAGCCATCACAGGATAGTCTAGACGGTCCCCAGCCAGGAAAATCCACTTTTGGTCATGAGAATGGGTCGACAGAATGTCAGCAAGTCCCTAGACAGGTGACATAGCGAGTAGCTAGGACCGATACCAACAGCCCCAGTCCTGTCAAACTAGAATGGTCTGTGACCTAGCTTGATGTATATGCTGCAGGCTACAGCTGTACCTGTACTTCATATTTAATATGCAGGATGCACGGAGAGGGGTCGGCCAGCAATGGGCTGTGTAACTTGAGATAGCAACCTTGTCTGTTGGCAGTTGCCTCCTCAGTGCCTAGAAAAGGGGTACTTAAAAAAAAAAGTATCCGAAAACCCTTCTCCCTCTCCTTTGATTATCTATCCTGATTCTTCCTCGTCGGTTTCCCTGACACCTCCCTCTCTCTCCTAGGCATTTCCTGACCTTTCCTGTGTCTTCCCTGTGCTGGCTAATTTTTTGTCAACTTGACACAAATTAGGAACACCTGGGGAAAAAAAACCACCTCAGTTGAGAAACTGCCTCCGTTGGCTTGGCCTGTGGGTGTATCTATGCAGCATTTTCTTAATTGCTAATTGATGCAGAAGATCCCAGCCACTATGAATGTTGCCATGGACAGGCAGCTGGGCCTAGGCTGTGTAAGAAAAGTGACTGAGCAAGCCAGAGGAGAAAAGGACAGTCAAGTGTCTTCCTCCATCACCTCTAGTTCAGTTCCTACACCAGGCTTTGAACTCCTGGCCTGGCTTCCTTTGATGATGGAGTATAAGCCTGTAAGATGTCATGAACCCTTTCCTCCCCGAGTGGCTTTTAATCATGATCTTTATCACAGCAATAGAAAGCCAAACTGGAACATGCTTCATCTGTCCTCTGCGGTAGCTAGTTCAGTTCGCTCCCAGGTCACTGACTTGCTGGAATCTCTTCACCAGCCCCTCCTCTGCCCACCCACCAGGAACCAGGAGCTCCATTGTATCTGCAGAGCCTCCAGCCTACATACCTGATCCCTGAGAAACAAAGTGAGGCAGTAAGGTTATAACAATAGCTTCTGTACACCGATACAGTGACGTGGTTAGTAGGCAAGCATTATTTATTTATTTACTTATTTTTATTATTCAGTTTTACTCATTGAATTTTCAGCAGCCTTTTGAGGTTGATGCTGCTACCTTTGGTCTCAAATAAGGACCCTTTCTTAAGGTCCCAAACTAGCAAGGTGTTAGATGAGGATTTGAACCCAATAAACCACCTCTAGAGCTTCTACCTTTAAACACAATACTCCTTTGCTACACTTCAGCTGGGAAGTATCTGAGGTGACTTAGGAGCAGAAGACAAATAATTTCCCTGGGAAAAACATAGAAAATAAGTGTTTGAGATGGCGATTACTGTGTCATGTCCATACACCTGAGTCCATAGGATTGGCTGCTGAAAGGAGGCTTTTCTGAGGCCTTCTTTCTACTAGGCAACTGCTTGCCACTGATGAGAGAGGGGTGGGGGGTGTCACTGTTGTATAGGCAGAGAATGGGGATGGGCACTCCGTCAATGTCTACAGACTTGCCTCTGGCCAAGCTAAGACATCCCGCCATCCTTCAACTTCTAAGCCTCTATTAGAGACTTACGGAGTCTAAGGAAAGCTCTCTCCCAGCATGCTTTGCTCTGCCCTCCTGGGTGTCTGCCAGGTCCTGCTCAGTCACTTGTTAGCTTTCTGGAGATGGCTGACCCCATGCTAGGAGCCTTCTCCTGAGTTTCTAGATCCCCTGCTTGTGACTGTGGCTCAGTGTTCACTCACCAACAGAGATGAAAGCTGACCTGGAGGGTGTGTGTGTGTGTGTGTGTGTGTGTGTGTGTGTGTATCATATCCAGTGTCGGGTGAGGAATTGCAAGAGGCCAAATTTGCTATCCAGCCCTCTATGTGGCTGTAAAATACTGAGGATCTCCCCACATAAGCCCTGTCTCCCTCCTTAGGTCTTACTTCTTTCTTTTTTTTTTTAAATATCTTTTTTTAATTTATTTATTATATGTAAGTACACTGTAGCTGTCTTCAGACACCCCACAACAGGGTATCAGATATCATTACAGATGGTTGTGAGCCACCATGTGGTTGCTGGGATTTGAACTCATGACCTCTGGAAGAGCAGTTAGTGCTCTTAACCACTGAGCCATCTCGCCAGCCCCTAGGTCTTACTTCTGACCAAGTTACAAAGGCTGTTCCTAATGGCAACCGAAGGGCTGTGCTTTCTCATAAAGGAAATATCAATTTTGTGATCACATTCTTTGCAGAACAGTTTTCCAGATAAATAGTTTTGTTATTAAACAAAACTATCACAGAAAGAAATGAAACTATTACATGACTCAATTATAAGGTCTCTACCTGCCTAACTTTGAGCCAGTCTAACAAATAGCCCCAGGCTGGTAGCAGAGGCACTGAGCAAGCTGTAGCGATGGATACCACCCCAGTGCAGATATGCTTGGCTCTGAAGAGCTTGGATGGGGGCAAAGAAACCCCAGTTACTCTAGAGACTGGCAGAGGAGTCCCTATGTTGGTGACTTTTGTGAGATGAAGGGATAAGGGGCGGGGGCTGGAGCAGAGTGGGGACAGATCTGCACAGGTTTGTTATGTTTGTCAAAACGAACCTTCTGAAGCTCCACACTTGGAATTCTATCTTTGTCCAAGATCTAAATGCACGAGGGACATCAGGGACAGCGGAGATGTTAGTGACTTCTCTGCCACTGTGATAAACACCATGGCCAAAGGCAGCTTAAAGAAGAGAGAGTTTATTTTGGCTTACAGTCCCAGAGGAATAAGGGTTCATGCAGGGAAGGCGTTGGCAACTGTGAAACCAAAGCAGGAACAAGAAAAATACACCTTGCAAGTTAACAGGAGACCTACGCAGGAAGAGTATACCTCGCAGGTTAAGGGTTACATTTGCAGTTAAGACAGTTAATAAGTGCCTGTTGGCCCTATGCATGTTTGTTCCATCTGCACCAGACATGGTGAATTGTGAATTTTGCCTTTTTAAACCCTTGAAAAAATGTGACTCATAGCCATTTCCTGGGAACCAAGAGATGGACCTGGCTAGAGGACATTGACCTGGCCAGGACTTAACTAAAGCTTGCCTCAAGGTTGGTTTAAAATTTTGGTCATGTTCTTATTCTTGACTGGTGGAAACAACACATCAAGCAGCAGGAACAAGAATCTGAGAATTCATATCTTTAATTATAAACATGAGGCAGAGAGAAAAAACTGGAATTAGGTGAGTATGAGTATATATAATCTCAAAGCTCACTCCACAGTGACCTACTCCCTCTATCAACTGGGGACCAAGTGTTCAGATACCCTAGCCTGTAGGGGACATCTCCCATTCAAACCACCATAGGGAGTGTGGGTTTGTTTATTTGTCTTCATCCAGAGGCTTGGGAGCACTTTTTGGAATAATTATGCAACATTCTGAACTCTCACATTTTCTCTCTTGGAGAAACAACTGTGACATAAGCATCTCATTTCGAGGATGAAGACACGGTCCCAGCACACTCGCCACTCACTAGACATTTCCTAGAGAGTTGGATGCTGCTCAGAGCTTTGCATCTGGCTGTCCACCCCCTGGAAATGCATGCACGAGGAGGCCTGTACCGTGCTGCTCATCAAAGCCCTGTACGTGCTGCTGGGCATCCAAGGGCCACTTACTGGCACTTTTGAGGAGGAGAGAGGATAAACTGGGCTTTCACAGCTCAGTGCTGTGATGCAAAGAATGAGTGGCACTGATAGGCAACAATATTGCTAAATCTCAGGAACTTCATGTAAAGTTGGAAGAGGCAGTTTGCAAAATGTAATTCACTGACTACCATATGTGCATATTTTTAAAACACGAAATAAGAGTAGATATTATTTATGAGTTCTTGCAAATAGTAACAAACACAGATATAACACAGGCATATATGTATAGCCTGCTTCTGAGTGAGAGGCAGAAGAAAACACACATAAGCCTGTTTTCTAATACAGTTATATATTAGAGGCCAGGCTGGCCTTACTGTGTAAGTGAGATGTTTACTTTAATTCCTAATTCTCCTGCTTCTACCTTCCATCCAGTGCCACTTGGCCCTCTCCATCTCAAATGGATTATGGCGAATATAAGTTGAAATGGTTCATAAGGTTAACGTGCTTTGCCACAATTGTTTCTTTTTGTAAAGTTATTTGAAGGTGTTATGGAGAATGCACTTGAACATAGTTAAGTATGCTCATTACATATTTTCTGAATCTCCAGACAGATCCAACCGTGCTGTGTTATGTGTGTGCTGTGTTGTGTGTTTGTACTGCTTAGTTTTGTTGACTCGACACTAACTAGAGTCATCTTGAAAGAGGGGACTTCAACTGAGGAGAAATTGTTCCCATCAAATTGACCCCTTGGCAAATTTATGGGTCTATTTTCTTGATTGACAGTTGATGTGAGAGGGCGCATCCCACTGTGAGCAGTGTTAAACCTGGTCCTGACTTCTTTTAGTGATTCACCATGATTCAGACAAGTAACCCAATAAATTCTCTCCCCCATATAAGTTGGAATGCAATGAATGGAGTTATAGGTAGAGAAAATGTCTCTGGCAGCTGTTTTCATGGCTCAAATGAAAAAAGTGAGGTTATACATGGCTCGTGTCCCTGCAAACACCTTCAATCCATTCCAGAGCGG